GGGTGCCAGTCCCTGCAGGGCAGAGCAGAGCTCAGACCCTGGCAGGTTTGGGGTGCCAGTCCCTGCAGGGCAGAGCAGAGCTCAGACCCTGGCAGGTTTGGGGTGCCAGTCCCTGCAGGGCAGAGCAGAGCTCAGACCCTGGCAGGTTTGGGGTGCCAGTCCCTGCAGCTCAGAGCTCTGCTCAGACCCTGGCAGGTTTGAGGTGCCAGTCCCTGAAGGGCAGAGCAGAGCTCAGACCCTGGCAGGTTTGGGGTGCCAGTCCCTGCAGCTCAGGAACTGCTGCCTGAGCACCCACGAGGTGTTTGCACAAGCCACAGGTGCCTGTGCTGGCTCAGACCCATTTTATTCTGCACCACTGACTCTGCCAAAGGCTCCTGACTTTCCTGCTTGGCCACCTCCCTCGGTGGCACAGGGAGGGTCCCCGTGCTGCTGCTCACCCTGTCCCACTGTCCCCACCCCTGATAAGAGCAGCTCTGCAGGAGCCCCACAGTCCTGCAGATCTGCTGCCAGCCCAGCCCAGGCACAGGGAGCTCTCAGGGCCCTCTGGCACAACCCTCCTGCCCAGAGCTTCTTCCCCTTCCACCATCTCTGCTCATGAGGGAAGGGAAACCACTGAAATTAAACATAGTGCTCAAAAAAAAAACAACCAAAAATCTAAAGCACAATGCAACAGGCATGCACTGGGTATTTACAGGATTGGGAGAAGCATCCCTACCTGCAGTGCTCCTCTGGAGAAGACTCCTTTCAAAAAAAGAACACCAAAAAAACCAAAAACCCAAAGCACAATGCAACAGCATGCACTGGGTATTTACAGGACTGGGAGAAGCATCCCTACCTGCAGTGCTCCTCTGGAGAAGACTCCTTTCAAAAAAAGAACACAAAAAAACCCCTTACTATTCTTTGATGGGGGAAAAAAATGCCCAAAAAACAACTGCTCGCCAACAGGGAGAACTTTTGGATGCTGTCAGTCACAAGAGTTATCTATACTGGGTGTTTATGTGCAGGCCAGACACCAACTAGGAAAAAAAATACAACCAAACAAAAGAAAACAACCCAACCCTAACTTAAAGGAAATATTCACATACTTAATATGCTTCTTTCCTATGAACCATCTCCAACCTTGGCCCGGATCCCACAGTCTCTTTGCGTGTGTAATTTGCAATTCTTACCAAACAAACAAACAAGCTGCACCACATAAGGAAATGGTTCCAAACATGTAATTTCAACAAAGGGATGAGAAAACATCCACCAAGAATGAAACTCACCGTGTTGTGAGTTGCCATGTGCAGCTCAGGACAGAGCAGCCCTGCTCAGACCTGTCCAGCCCAGACCGTGTCACACACACAGCTCTGCCCAGAATTCATTAATTCATTAATTAATTCATTAATTCACACACACAGCTCTGCCCAGTGACTCCCCTCTGGCCCAGCTCTGTCCCAGCCTGGAGCAGAGGAGTGGGAGCTGGGCTCGTGGGATGGATCAGGGCACAGCTGAAGTGTTGATGCCAGCTGGGCACTGACAGCACGCAGGTTCCCTCAGAACCCGGCTGCTTCCTGCACTGCCTCCACAACGTCTGGGGTTACTCACTTTATTACATAAAAGAGTGGAAAATTCCCGTTCAGAGCGGGGCTGTCACTCAGGAATGACTGCACGCCCAGCTGCTGTGCTGCCCCACCAGAACCACGCTCACTCCTCACACTCGGCAGGGATTTTTGGGATACCCAGAGAGTTTGTGGCTCCAAGAAATGGGTGCGAAGCCAGGGCAGCTCCCAGGACCAGCAGGGTGGAAGGGGCAGATCCCAGGAGCAGATCCCAGGGCCGGCATGGTGGAAGGGGCAGATCCCAGGAGCAGATCCCAGGGCCGGCAGGGTGGAAGGGGCAGATCCTGGGGGCAGCTCCCAGGGCCGGCAGGGTGGAAGGGGCAGATCCTGGGGGCAGATCCCAGGGCCGGCAGGGTGGAAGGGGCAGATCCCAGGAGCAGATCCCAGGGCCGGCAGGGTGGAAGGGGCAGATCCCAGGACCTCCGGAGCTGCCACAGCTCGGGCTGGCACTGCCACCCTGCAGCTGCGGCACTGTCCGGGTCCTCACTCATCACAGCCACGTCTTAAACGCCCAGTGATGCAAAACCACCTGGGGACACCTCCCAGAGGGCCCAGGGCAGGCTCCGAGGATCAGGCCCGAAATGCAGCCGCAGACTCGGACGGAGTGCGGTCGGTTCCGTCACCGGTGCGAGCTGTCACCGCCGCCCGGCCCCCCCCTCCTCCCCGAGCACTGACCGCCCTCCGGGGCTCCGCGGGGCCTCCGCGACGGGCTCGGCCCGGCTCGGCCCGGCTGCAGCCCAGCAGCTGCCGGCCTGCTCGGGCCGCGAGGCACCCACGGGCCCGGCCCCCGGCCCGCCCGCTCGGCCCGCGGAGGAGGAGCGGCAGCAGCGGCCCGGCAAGGACGCGGCAAGGGCGGCCATGGGCAGCTCCAAACCGCTGTCCCGCTTCTGGGAGTGGGGCAGGAACATCGTGTGCGTGGGGCGCAACTACGCGGAGCACGCCAAGGAGATGGGCAGCGCCCTGCCCGCCGAGCCGCTCTTCTTCCTCAAGCCCTCCTCGGCCTACGTGCGGGAGGGGTCCCCCATCGTGCGGCCCCACTACTGCCGCAACCTGCACCACGAGGTGGAGCTGGGGGTGCTCATCGGCCGCAGGGCGCAGGCCGTGCCGCCGGACGCGGCCATGGAGCACGTGGCGGGCTATGCCCTGTGCCTGGACATGACGGCCCGCGACACCCAGGAGGAGTGCAAGAAGAAGGGGCTGCCCTGGACCTTGGCCAAAGGGTTCGGCTCGTCCTGCCCCGTCAGTGAGTTCGTGCCCAAGGAGAAGATCCCGGACCCGCACAAGCTGCAGATCTGGCTGAAGGTGAACGGGAAGCTGAGGCAGGAGGGGGACACCTCCTCCATGATCTTCTCCATCCCTTACCTGATCAGCTACATCAGCCACGTGTTCGCCTTGGAAGAAGGGGACTTGATTCTCACGGGCTCTCCCAAAGGAGTGGGGTCCGTGGAGGCCAACGATGAGATCGAGGCGGGGATCAGGGACGTGGTGTCCATGAAGTTCAGGGTGGCACAGGGCGCGGCCCCCGGGAGCACAAAACGTGTTTGACTGCCACAGCCCCGTTGCCACCGAGGCTTCAGCACTCCTGAGTCCAGCCCAGCCTGGAGCAGGTGCAGCCCAGAAGCTCCAGATGCCAAAATTTACTTCCAAAACCATACCTGGGAACTGGCAATGGAGACATTGGAGAGGGGAATGGGCCTGGCTGTCCTTCTGTGTGTGCTTCTCTTCTGCTGATGCTTTGAGTATGGCCTTAAAATAAAAATTACTGATCAAAACAATTCAAGTGATGATGTAGGAGCTAAGGCTCAGCTGTGCTGTGGAGAATCAAAGGTTTATGTGTGGATGTGGAACCCTAAATCAAGAATTGCAGCTTCAGAAAGAGTTTCCTCTACAAGAGAAAGATGTTTGATTGTTTGGATTAATTTTGTGATTCCTCCCTGCTTTTTTCAAACACACAAATTAAAGAAGGATGGCTTTTCCTCCCACTCCAGGGGGCAGAGGCAGCAGGAAGTGTGCCAGATGTTTGGCAGATTTGTTTTTTTTCCCTAAACTGAGCTTGAAATATGTTCTAAAAGTGAAATAATGCAAAATGATCAAGAATAAAGAAGCATGTGGGTAAAGATCACCACCAGGCTTTTATTTTGACTGATTTCAATGTATTTTTAGTAAAACTGTAGCTGCAGCAGTGCTGTTACCCAGTGCAGTGCAGCAGTTGGAGTTTTTAAGTGTTTGCAGCTGCTAAAAGCCACGCTGGGTAACTTTCCCCAGTTCCCAGCTCCAGCTGCTCCAGCACTCCCCACTGGTTTGCATGACAGCGAGTTCTCTTTCAATTCAACAGAGCAAGTTGTAAAATATAATTTAAAAAATCCTCCCCGTGCAAACATCAAAACCTAGATTTTCAAAGGTTGCACAGAACTGGTTCATTTCTAACAAAAACAGATGGATTTTGGTTTTTGTTTTACATAAATGCAAAGCACCAAAGCTAAATGCTTCCATTTGTCAGAGCCAGATCTTAATAACTCCTAGGAAAAGCTTTGGTTTTAAAAGTGGGGAGTTCTACAGAGAAAAATCCTCTCTCCCAAAGAGAAGCAGCTCTGTGAGAGCAGCACAGTCCAGGGTGCTGCACAACACTCTGGGAGAAGAAAGTGAAGAATTCCTTTAGAATTTCCCCAGAATTCCAATAGCCATCAGGGTGAACAGTTCTGGAAGAGGAAGGATGGAATTCTGTCTGTACTGTTTGCATTTCCTCCTGCCTGTCAGACATTCCCATCTCTGGCATCATTTGCAGTTTGGTCTCCAGCCCTGGGTATTGACAGAGTTGGGATTAAGTTATTGGAAACATTCCTTCAGAATGGGAATTGTTATGGTTGGGAAATGTTGAATTGTTTATTGCTACAAGAGGGATGCTGGCAGCATTTTTGGGGTCTTTATTGGCACCCTGGAGCCAGGGATGGAATCTGGGATTGCTTGTCAGGATTTCCTGGTTCTGTGGAGGTTTGGGGAGGGCACCAGGGGGATCAGAGTTCCTTTGCCAGAGCAGGGCTGGGGGATCTCTCCTCTCTCTGCTGGAAACAGGCTGAGCTCCAGCGTGCTCAGGAGGTGAGGATGGGACAAACACACCAGCAGGAGGGAAGCTATGGACAGGAATATATTAAAAATAGGGGAAAAATACATGGAGGAAGGCACAATGTACATACCTGGGTTCTTTAAATCCAGCTTTGGTGAACAGAATCCTGCTTACAGCCTCAGCTTGATTTTGGTTGTCAGAGGTCACTGCTAATTGATTACTCTGCTCTAATTAGACTTAGTCTGCCCAAAGAGAATCAGCCCTGCTCTTGCCCACAGCTCCATGTCTGGCCTCAGCAAGGTGCAGCACAAACCCAGGCAGTGTTTCAAGGGGGGTCTTTATTTCTTTAACACAAAAGCAGCAAAGCAGTTAAAATTACAGAACTTCAACAAATCTCATTTAACCTATTTGTTATTTCTGTTTTTTCCAAGGTCTCAGCTAAGTGAGGAAATCTCCCAGCCCCCTTGAAAGGGGTTGAATTTGGTAGAATGAACATTTAAGCTGAGGCCCAAGTACACTTTTTAAAGTACAATCACCCAAAAATATGAACTCAGAAGCCCACTTAGAGGTATTGCAACATGCACCTCTCCTTTACCATCAGAACAGACTTGGCCAAACCCAACAACAGCAGAATTCCATCTCTAACAGCAGAGTGAAGGAAGCCTTTCCTAGCATTTATAAATAATTCCAGTCTCTTCCCAAGAAGCTCTGACTCGCCTCCATGGGATCTGCCAGTTTGCAGGAAAGAAGATTCACTTTTAGTCCAGTTCTCCAATTGGGTGATGAGGTAACCTGGAAAAATAATTAAGGATCTTTGTTATCACAGCACCTTGACAGAGATTGTTTTCAGCTGTTACACAGAACATTTGACAGATTTATTTGCATTATTTCCTGTGTGAGTACACAGTTCTGCCATCTGCCTGTCACTGCTGAAGTCAAACACTTTCATTTTGTCCTGGAAATAGGGACAGAGAAACGGGAGATGGGACACTAAGAAGAGTTTTGCCCCAAAGGATAAGTTTAAAAGTGAAAAACAGCTCCTGTTTTGAATTAAACATTAAATACTAACTTTGAAGTAAATCTTGCTTCGTTCCAAGAGGAGCTGCCATTTCAGTGCAGTCCTCTGGTCTTCTTCCAGCATGAGGAATTCAGGGACCTGTTAACAGGACACCACAGGGCACTTCAGCAGGTAGTTAGAACATCTCCACAACAGAATGATGATGAAAATAACATCTTACATGTTTTTATACATTTCTAGGCTGTATTTTTCTATTTTAACACAGTGCTTGGTATGAGATGTGCACCAAGAGAGTCACATTAACCAGATAAACTGCAGGGTGCTTGAAAATCAGATTTAGGGATTTCCAGCCATGTTCTCAGAAGAGCAGCGCTCTGAACTGGGTTCAGTCTTACACTGAACACAATTCCTGTTGGCGTCTGCTGACTTCCAGCTTCTGCCAAGCTCTGTGTGTCCGTCCATCCATCCATCCATCCATCCATCCATCCATCCATCCATCCATCATCCATCCATCCGTCCATCCATCCGTCCCCATGATATTTTTATGAAAATCCTTTGCTAGGATTTCTCTCCTGTTCTAGGTGAGAAGCCTCAGAAAAGAAATGTAAACAATTAACTATCTGATGGCTGTGGAATGTGGTTGGACATTGTTCACCAACAGTGCATCTTCCATTGGTCTATGTGCATTGTTTTCACTCGATGACCAATCACAGCCACCTGTATTGAGGCTGTGAGCAGTCACAAGATTTTGGTTATTAATTTCTTTATTTTCCTTTCCAGCCTTCTGAAGGACCCTTTTCTTTCTATTCTTTTTAGTATAGCATTTTAATATAATATCATAATATAATAACTCAGCCGCATTCCTTTATATTCCTTTCCAGCCTTCTGAAGGATCCTTTTCTTTCTATTCTTTTTAGTATAGCATTTTAATATAATATCATAATATAATAACTCAGCCTTCTGAAACATGGAGTCAAGATTCTCATCTCTTCCCTCATCCTGGGACCCTCAAACACAACCACAGTGATCCATGCCATTTTTGTCACCCTTGCACCCAACACACAGAGAACATTTTCAGGTATTTGTAACTCAGCAGGCTCCAGAGGAGCTCAGCAGCAGCAGCCAGCCCCCCTTACTGTGCAGCCCAGGGTGTCCTCAGCCACACAGTCAGCCAGGTAGCAGGAGCGCAGGGTGCCCGTGTGGTCTGTCACATCCACCAGGATGTCAAAGCTGGCAAAGGTGGACCTGGCCTCTGCAGAGACGTCACTGCAGAAGGTGCAGGTGTTTGACACCTCATTCACGATGAACCTGCAGACTGAGCTGAAACACAAGCAGAGAATTCATGCACATATGCAATTTGTTCTTCCTGAAACATTTTTCTAGACTGAGATTTCCCAAGAGATTTTGTCTTTAAAAAATTGTTCACCATCTAAACTCTTGAGTCCATCTGAGACAAAGTGCCCTCTTTCTTTTTCACTCTAGGACCACAAAGAGCCCTCAACAAAACCCCACACCAGAAACCCACATGGCATCCTCCAGAGGAGTTTTATTTCTTCTCTGGGATGGCACTAAAATGTTGCTCCATGTAATTTGGGCCTGGGCAAGAGGGACAGGCAGTTTCAGCACATTCCCAGCAGGCAGGTGCTCACCATCTGTTGCGCAGGACTCTGGACACGCTCTCGTCGATGTCCAGGGTGGAAATGTAGCCATAAATAATTCCATGGAGAGGCTCCAGCTTCCCATCACTCTGGAGAGCTTTTTCTTTCAGCTGTTCCACTGTGTAGACATCCACTACAGCCTCCACTACAAGTTTAAAAGACAAGTTAAGGGTGTCTGAGCCAGAAATTATTCCAAGAGCAACAGCAGAAGTGGATCTTGAAGCAATAAAAAGGAGATTTAAAGCAGCAGTAAAGCCCCCCTCCAAAAAAAAAAAAAGTAAAACAAAAGGGACTCATATCAGGACTACATCTATTATTTAATCTTTGTATCCTCCAAAAGGAGTTTTTGAAAAAGCTTTCCCCCTCACTTCTGCAAACTGGTTGCAGACAGAAGGAACACACCAGACAGGCTGCAGCTGGCACAGTCAGCTGGAGATACCCAAAGATAAAACAAGGGACAGCCCCAAGAAAGCATCCAAACTTTACCCACTCAGCCAGGCTGCACCTGAGTTTTGTTTCTGTGAACACCCAGAGCAGGAATTCTTTCAGCTGCACTGTGAAATGACACTGTGCAGGTAAAAATAAAATCAATAAAATAAAATCAATGCTTACAGTTAATGGTTTCATTTGGCAGCTCCTTCACTGGGCTGGGCAGAGCTCCTGCCTGGGCATTCTCTTTGATGAAGCTGAAGAGAACATTTGCTTCTGCTGTTTCTGAAGATGCATTTCAAAAAGTTATCAGTGTATGTTGCACGTAAAAGTCACAGCATTTTTATATTTCACAGGTTGTTATTTTGGTAGTACAAACATGTTGGAATTAGCCAAGATTTGCTTTTCTCTTTTTTATTTTAACTGTTAATCCTGCATGGAATAAACATATGAAGGTTGCTAACAATAAAATAATTTTTAAATAAAAATAAATAAAATAGAAGCCAAAGGCACTGGTCATCACTTAGCAGACAAAAAGCAGGGAGCTTTGTGAGAAGCAGGCAGAAGAAATTACAGTTCCAATAGATTAATTAATGCATTCTAGCCTAGAATAATTATTAAAGGCAAAGAAATACTTGAGCAGCTCTTACCTGGGTTAGTTGTAATGATGGTTTTGGATATCACAGTTGCAGTCATGCAGTTCCTAAATTTGTCAAAATTGATTCTGACATCTGATGCAAATATAACTGTGCAGAAAAACACCCCCATGTTACTGGAGAATAAATGCCACATGAAGAACTTCAATGAAACCATAAACCAGACTGCTTTACCTGTTTCTTGGGGGATCCAACTCTGTGCCAGCTGGATGGATTCATTATCCCAGCTAAATTAAACAAAACATTTTTGAAACAGCATTCAAAGTGTTTAGTACTAAACTACTAAATAATGTAGTTGTAATAAAATTGGCCAAAGAGGACACGACTCCTTTGTGACACACATGGCACTGAAATTCCATGTGCCTGCTTCATCCCAAACAGGATAAAATAAAGATGGGTCTAAATGCAGAATATACCTGGGGAAATGCTGGATTTCAGCTTTTATCCAAGTCATTTCCAGCTGAAGCAAAGCCCAGCTCAAGGAGCTGTTTGTGCTGGGCCAGGCTGATTGCTCAGATCCCCAGGCCAGATGTTCAACACTGGGATCTTTGTGGCTGGGATGATGAGACTGGAGTGAGGTCAGAAACATCCCTCAAAAATGGTAATTTCATGGTCTCTTGATAAAATCTCCTTCAGCTCCTCCTAAATTTGACTGGCAAGAGCACAGCCAAAGCACAGATTTGTTCTGGTGGGTTTTCTCCTTAATCCTTGGAGAAAGATTTAAGATATTTCCTTTCCATCTGATACTGCCCAGGGACCTCTTCCCTGCTGGGCTCTGAAATCCCCTGACAGTGCCCATGTCCCAGCACTGAGAGAGCTGATGGAGGAGGTAATTTCCCAATTAACCCTGGGCTGGAAGGGTTCACCCCAGAGCTGCTTCTCTTGGCTCTGTGGCTGTGAATTGTGTTAAACATCCCTGGAGGTAACACAGCTCCCAGCCCACAGAGCAGGGCTGGCTGCCTGCTTCCCCTGAGGGAACAAAGGTCACTGGAGTCATTTTTAACCACCAAACAGCAGCCCCAGAGCCAGGGAATACCCACACCCCCACATGGCCCTGCACTTGGAAAAGCCACAGGTTTATTGAACAAACTCTGGGCAAAATGCAAAGGTTCCTCTGTGACTGTTCAGGGATGGGCTGGGTGGAGTTGTGTTTGTAACCAGGACAGAGTTGGAAAATACAGCCAAAGTCACATAAAAATGTTTCTGCATTATTTTAAATATTTAAAAACTATTTCAACCTGTTTCCACTCCATTTGCACTTCTGCTTGGCTTTAAAAAATAGATCATGCTCTTCATTTTCCTGCCCTCCTGCTTGTGGAAGAGACACAACTGCCTTTGCAGCTGGTTTTAAAAGTCATTTCCTGAATTAGCTCAAATGTCCACATTAAAAAAAAAAGGAATTATTTGGAGCTGAGCTTCATTTTGCCATCCATGAGCCAGCAGGCTGTCAGCAAGCCATAAAACTACACAAGATATATAAGGCCACTCTAATGAATCTCTTCTTTAAGTCTCTTTTCACTGTACATTGCTGCCTCATCTCAGTTGCCTCCTAAATAACAATAGATTTAAATTAAAAGACAGGTTTATAGTTAATTAATGTGTGTTATAGCTAATTTCTTTACCCATGTTTGCATTATTTTTTAGTGAATTAAAGAACATTTAAAGAATTAAAGAACATTTTACCATACTATTGGGAAAGACCTCTCTGTTTCATCATACAGCTTTACTTCACACCTCTGGCCTTTCCTTTTGTCTGAAGTCATAAAATACTTTGGCTCCCCAACCTTGAAGAAGAAAGAAAAGAAGTCACTTGTCTTCTATTCAGTGTTTGAAAGAATGAAACCCATAATCTAGAAAATAAAAGGGTTAGAAAAGGGAAGAAATACTCTAGACTACTAAAAATGGGATCACTTAATTTTCCCTTAATTTTGTTGATAAAAATCTCATCAAAGGGTGTGTTTGGTTATGGTCACTCAGCTGCCAAGCTGAACAAATGCAGTCCTGGCCACTGTGAGGCTCAAAATCCACATTGACACAGATTTACAATGAAGTTACTGATGGTGGAGCACAGAAATGCTCCTCACTCACTGCCACCACAGCCCAAAATCCACACTGACACAGATTTACAATGGAGTTACTGATGGTGGAGCACAGAAATGCTCCTCACTCACTGCCACCACAGCCCAAAATCCACATTTACACACATTTACAACGAAGTTACTCATGGCAGAGCACAGCAATGCTCCTCACTCACTGCCACCACAGCCCAAAATCCACATTTACACACATTTACAACGAAGTTACTCATGGCAGAGCACAGAAATGCTCCTCACTCACTGCCACCACAGCCCAAAATCCACACTGACACAAATTTACAATGAAGTTACTGATGGCAGAGCACAGAAATGCTCCTCACTCACTGCCACCACAGCCCAAAATCCACATTTACACACATTTACAACGAAGTTACTCATGGCAGAGCACAGAAATGCTCCTCACTCACTGCCACCACAGCCCAAAATCCACACTGACACAGATTTACAATGGAGTTACTGATGGCAGAGCACAGAAATGCTCCTCACTCACTGCCACCACAGCCCAAAATCCACATTTACACAGATTTACAATGAAGTTACTCATGGCAGAGCACAGAAATGCTCCTCACTCACTGCCACCACAGCCCAAAATCCACACTGACACAGATTTACAATGAAGTTACTCGTGGCAGAGCACAGAAATGCTCCTCACTCACTGCCATGACAGCTGCCAGCACGTTGAGGACTCTGCCATGGAGGCTCTGTCCGTTTGCCACGATGTCCCCCAGGGAATAATAATCCTGAGGGTCCTTGACAGGCAGGTGCAGCAGAGCCAGCAGCCGGGTGTCTGTGTCGTAGCAGGAAGAGGTTTTCACCACAGAGTGATTTTCACTCAGCAATAATTTGTAGCCACTAGAACAGAACAAATCCCATGGATGAGCACTGCACTCACTGAGGTATCAACAGTGCAAGATGTTAATTCATATGAAAAAGCAACTTTATTCCATTATAGTTTTTCCTAAAGGTACAAAAATTCTTGTAGATTTTACTCAATGAATGAAGTTTACTCTGTTTAGCAACAAAGAACATTATTGCTTTATGACCTTCTATTTATTAAATATATTCTCCTTTGAGATTTGACCAGACATTGTTGAGCACAGGAGGAAGGTACAGCTACACAAGAAGAAAACACCAAAAATTTCTACCCATTTCATGTGGCTGGAATTAAAGCAAGTCTTAACTTTGATCTTTCTAGAAAGAACTACCACTCCATGCTTTAAATTTACCTAGGAGTTACAGGGTTGAATTTTTCTTCTCTTTCTGCTTCCTTGGACTGAATTAAAGGATTTTCAATTGTAACTAAAATAAAGCATTGATAAGTAATGTTAGAAATTGATTATAGGTACAGTTATAGATATTTTTGTGTGTACACTCTGTAAGCTCACAAGTTTTACCCAAACAACCACAGGTAGCAAAATCTTTCTATGAAGTTAAAAAGATAAAAGTGCATCCTGTAAATAAATGCAGGATTTTTGTTGTGGTTTTATCAGCAATCATAGTCATATCTATAACTGAGGGAAGACAAACAGCAAATTGCTTTACAGCTTATTTTTCATCATGTTTAAGACCTCAATATAATGTAAAATTTGACATTGATTAACTGCAGGCCAGCTCTGAGCTGCTGCACTCAGTGGGTTTCTTTTGTTGACATATTTACTGGGCTTCAGCTGAAATCCTTGGAATCTTGTTCCTTTCCTCTTTCTATTGAACAGAACTGAACAATTTGTTTCCAATTAGGCTGTTTGTGAGTCCTCAGAGCAAAACACAACAAAGCCACCAGCACAACTCTGATTGCCATGCAAACAGAAACGTGGTGGGAATAAATAAAATAAAATAAACAAACTCACCGCAGTCACCAACCCTGAAGCTTTCTGAGAGGGATCTGATGTACTCTTCTCTGCCCCAGGACTGGACATTAATGAAAAAAGTTGGGGAATCACGAATGGTAAAATTGAAGGTGTATCTTTCAGTGCCAATGTCTGCAAAAATAAACAGGGCTGCAGCAATTCCTCAGCACAGCTTGATTTTTAACTAGAATATATGTATAAAAACTACTATTTTGTGGTTTTCCTGGATTTTGGTGGGAATTTTCTCCCACTAGAGGCCAGCAGGTGGTGCAGGAACACGGTGGTGTTCGGGAAGGGGCTGCAATTCCTGCTGTGGTTGTACCTGGTGTAAACCAGATCAAAGAGGGAGAGGAGCTGCGGGAGGTGACAGCCAGGGGTGCCACACAGGGAGGGCTCGTTTGTACACACAGCCCCAGCTCTGCAGGAGCTGATGCCCAGGCTGCAGGGTCACTGCCAGGGGGTCCAACTGAATAAAGCAAAGTGCTTCCAGTGCTATGGAAAATTCAGGATACTGGTGTCTGCATCCCTGCCTGTCTCATGCAGGTAACTAATAAAGCTTTCCTGGATCACAGCATGATGCAGTGGATTATTCAATTATCCAGGAAAAGCCGAGTGATCCCCCAGCCCCCTGAGTGCAGGCCCATGGAGCACACACACCAACACCCTGTCTGTGGGCTCTGCGCTGGAGTGCCACCAGCTGCAGGTGACAACGATGGCTTTCCCCTGGAACCTCTCCCCTCCAGCAGCTCAGCAGTGAGCAGGCAGCAGGAAAACTGAGCCCTTCTCCTGCAGCTGGGATGGCTCTCCAGGGCTGGAGGTGCTTCCTGACAGTGTCTGCACCAACCCTGACTGTAAATTTGTTATTTCAATTTCCAATTAACGTTATTAACAACATACAATTCCCATTTTGTCCCAGATGAAGCTGCTGCTACTCAGGCCAGAAATTACTTGTGTCACTCCACAAGACATTTCCTCAACATTTCTGTTTTAAGAGAGAACAAATATGAAGGCACCAGCTCCATTCCAGCAGTATTTGTGGAAGAGTGGGTTCATATTGGTTCCATCCTCAGAGCATGAAACACTTCCATGACAGAGTTTTTCCAGTTTCTAATTGATATGGCTCAGCCAAACCGATGCTGCTCTTTCATCTTGGTTCTCAAACAGACACCATTTTTTTGGGTGCATGTTTATTCTGTCCATTTTACACTGAGAAATCTGTTTATCATTTAAATCTTGATTTCAGTCATCTCTGCCAAATTACACCGTTGAAGAAAATGAAGTAAAAAGAGTTTAAAGGGACTGTACTTTTTCGGTCTGGAAAGCTTCTGACATCTGTTTTCCCAATAACCACCCCGATTACATTCTGAAAAATAAAAAGATTATAGAGTACAAGTATTAAACCCAGATGTAGATGATGAATTAGATTTCATGGAATTATACTCTGCTGATGATAATAAACATATTTCTGGCTGGTAATCATTTTAATCTATTTATTCCACAGTACTGTATGAGCTAAAGAGTAAAATATAAACACACAAGTTTACTTTAGGAAAAAATTGTGACTAATAAAAATATTAAAATAAATGCATCTGTTTCTGTTTGTGAAGAAAATGGGAGGACAAAAGTTCACCCCAAACCTTCACAATTTTGGCTGTTCTACAGCAATCTCTCCTCAGGTAGGCAGCAATGTTGTTGTTTCATGCTTTCTGCACAAGTCTCAGATCTCCTCAAATGCTCCATGGAAAGTCTGCACAGGATTTATTTTACAGTGAAGTGTCCAAGGTTTCCTGGCTCTCAGCCACAGTGTGCACCTACAGGAGCTTGTCCTGGCCTCAGCCAAGCAGCCAAAATTCCTACAGGTGCCTCTCTCTTGCTATCTTTCAACTGGCTCCAAGGGAGCTGAGGCAAGGAGCTTTTCTGTTGATTCAGACCAAAAGCAATCTTATTCTGCTTTGCTAAAGCTGTGCCTATTATGTAAAAACATCCTGTTCTCAATTGTCAAACACAACTACTGGGAGCAAACACACACATGCAGATATAGATATATTATCTATCCATCTATAATATAACATAACAGCTCTGTGGTGGGTTCTTGTTGTGTTTCAGGTGGTCCTTGGTGTCAGTGAAGAGTTTTGCAGTGCTGGTTTGGGATTTAAGAGATCAGCAAGGAAAGTCAGAGTGGGATGAGGGCTGGAAGAACAAACTGACAGTGCAATACTGCCAGGATCCTTCAAAACATGAAGCATCCCATCTCAACTCCACTCCACAGAATCCTGGAATGGTTTGGGTTGGAGGGATCTTAAATCCACCCAGTGCCACCCCTGCCATGCAGTGACACCTTCCACTGTGCCAGGCTGCTCCCAGCCCTGTCCAGCCTGGCCTGGGCACTGCCAGGGATGTGGCAGCCACAGCTCTGTCACCCGAGCCCTTCTGGCAGTCCCGACTGTCCCATTCCAGCAGAATTCCAGAGCCAGCTGGGGAGGGCAGGGCTGCAGTTCAATAACCAGCCAGGATTCCTTTCGTGCATATTCCCAAAGCAGCGTGACCTGCCTGACTTCACTGCAATGAGGACATGAGCTCAAAAAGCAGCTCTCGGGGCTCCTTGGGACACTAGAGGGAGCACGGGACCTGCCTCATGCTGCAGGGATGGACACACTCAGGAACATTCCACTTGTGTACAGCCCTGTAATACCCCCCTTCCACACTGAATGCTTTATGTCCACTGCATGCAGTGATTCTGATTAGCATTTTGTTTTTCTATTTTGGGTTTTGTTGCTTAATTAAAAAAAAAAAATTATTAAATCAGAGTGCAACATTCCCTGTATCTCACCATCAAATATCAAAAGAACTGACATTTAGGATGAGTGCCTGCAGAAACTAGGCTGATTGTGCCTAATTTCTGGTGCAAATATCCAATTTCCCGAAGAAATCTGCCCTGGCCCTGCTATAAATGTGTTCACCTCTGTGTCTCCAACCCCGAGCTTGCACAGACAGCTGGCAGAAGGAATTGATCTGGCTGGAAACTATTTTGGACTGAGGAAAGGAGAAAAACTTCCAGAGATCATTTCCTTGATCAGCTCATTGTGCAACTGCCCAAGCACTCATTTCCCCAAAGAGGAGGAACACCCCCCGTGGTGCCTGCTTTGGCAGAGCTCTGCTCGAGGCTGCTCAACCAGCTCATGCACACGCTGCAAGTGTTTACACTTGAATCTCTTTCACTTTTTAAAATAAACAGCAAACTCATAAACCGTGCCATTTTGATACTTCAAACTGTGTGTTCAGCTGTTTTAACGGCCTAACACAACACACACTGATCATTCTATCATAAATTATTTTATAAAAGTACTTTTGTTGCCGTGTGTTGCTAACTGCAATACTCAAGATTAGTTTTATTTGTAAAACAAAGGCTTTTAACTGGGTTAGTGGATCATTATTTGGGAGGAAGTGTGAATGACAGGCTAGATTAGCATTGCTGAAGATCACTTTGGATCAATATAGCTCTAAGGAGATAGAAAGCTGCCCTTAGATTATCCCTTTTCTGTGATTCCTCTTTCATTTGTTTGAAGTAAATGAGAAAATAAATTGTGCCATCCCAAATAAAACGTGGTGGGAATGGGAAAACTCCATGTTTTCACTCTTTCCAGGAATATCAGGACTTCCTGGGGCAGGGGAGGGGGGATTCTGCCTCTGCTCAGGTGAGACACCCCGGGGTCTCAGCACAGAGAGGACATGGAGCTGTTGGGATGAGTCCAGAAGAGGCTCCAGGATGATTGGAAAGGCTGAAAGAATTGGGATTGCTCATCCTGGAAAAGAGAAGCTTTGGGGTCACCTAATTGTGGCCTTCCAGGGGCTGAAGGAGCTGGCAAGAACCATGAGAGAGACTCGTTACAAGGGATGGAGTGACAGGACAAGGGGCAATGGCTCCAAAGAGAGAGTGGGCTTAGGATATTGGGGAGAAATCCTCCCCTGGGAGGGTGGCAGGGCCTGGCACAGGTGCCCAGAGCAGCTGTGGCTGCCCCTGCATCCCTGGCAGTGCCCAAAGCCAGACTGGGCTGGGAGCAGCCTGGCACAGTGGGAGGTGTCCCTGCCATGGCAGGGGTGGCACTGGGTGGCCTTTAGGCTCCCTTCCAGTCTGTGATCCTACACAAACTCATTTTTTACCCCAAAGAAACAGAACCAAGCCTGCCATGGAACTGTGAGGTTTTTACCCTGCCTTCCCAGCGGGCCCTGACAGACTGCTGAGGTCCCAGATGATCGTGGCTGCATAATGCTGACTCTGTCATGTCCTTAATAATGCCTTCACTAATTCAGCATCCATTTGAAGTGCTACAAAGGAGCCTCTGATACTCGGAATTGTCCGGTCAATATCTGTGGTACCCACAGGCTGTGGACAACAACAGCATCCATTTTCATTTTGCTGCTTTGCACACAAAGAAGGGAAGGTCCTTTCTGTCCAACAATTGCACTAATGCTATCAGTACCTAAATACACATCAATTACATAATTTTGCAGTAATAGAAGACAGTCGGATACGATTTCATCTGGGAACAAAAGGCTGTGAGACTTACAGGACGAGCGAGGTTTGGATGCAGATCTGAAAGTGCAACAAAGTCCCGTGCTGAACGAGAATGAGCCATTCTTTATCTGAAACTGCAGGAAACTGACTTGGAGTTTGTAAAAATCCAAACAAATCACTTAAGACCATTCACAGTGAGAATAACAAGTTATTTTTTAACGTAAATGTTTTGACCTAATGGCATCTGTTTTCAATAAGAGGCATTTCAAGCCATCTGAAGTAGACAATTCTTTATTGTTTGGATTTGGCGATGGAAGTTATGAATTTTACTGTGACAGCTCTACCTAAGCTTCTCAAATAAAGGCCTGTAATTTTTATTTATTATTCATCATTAAATGACTCCATTAGCACCAGGCTCTGAAAAATATTTACCCTCCTTCTCTCTGGGAAGCCCAACTGAATTAATGAGGCAGCTCATATTTAAAAGGCAATTTATATGTGAGGAAAGAGAAGTGTTGGGCTGCAAAGCACCTTTAATTGAGGTTTTGGACTAAATATTAAACTACTTCAAAATGTGAGTTTATGCCTTCCTCAAAATAGAAAAGTTGTGAATTTATTAAAATAAAATTTGTAAAAAACAGTTCTTTTCAGGCTGCCAACGTGGCATTTACTGCCCAGCCCTGAGAGCACCCAGGTTCTCTCTAGAGATGCTGACGTGGGGCCATGGGTGCTTTTTTAGACCCTCTGAATGCCTCTTATTATTTCATGGGTTCCTCAGAGACATGTAGATACTTAACAAATGGTTGTCAGAATCTGGTTTTTGTTGTAAAAGGAACCACGGCATTGTCCAAATCTTAATAACCTTTAATAGGAGAGAACTGCTGACATTTTTCAGAGGATGCCTGTTCAATCTTTAGAACAAAATCCTGAATGGCTTTCACAGTCTTTATACCTGGAACCTCGTGTGAGAATTGTTAACCATTTCATCAGGCATTAGGATAAAGGTCTGTTGAACTAGAGAACAAATAAGCCTACATTTTAAAGAAAAATAAGCAGTTATCTGAGAACCAAGCCATTTTTCTAAAAGAGCATTTCAAACTACACTCTCACAGACAGACAGCCCAAATTTGCCTTACAGAAACCACTGAACAATGGGGCCCTCAAACCTGTTCCCATCCCATTAGATGGAAGAATTTATGTTTCCTTCTGTAGGAAAATTACCTCAGCATCCCTCCAAGGCAGGGTAATATTCCCACCTCAGAAGAAGTTAAATATTGTTACCTGCTGTACCTCACACCAGCCGGGTCTTGTCAAAAGAACCAGCGCCGGAACACCTGTAGCAGAAGATTAAAATGGTCATTTAGGATTTTAAATGCTCTGGGTTCTGAGAGCTGGATGCTCCAGCTGCCCCACTCAGGGACCCCTCAACCTCCTCAGGTGCTCCTCAACCCATCATGGACCTCCTCACACACACGCCATTCCCCTCAGGGGCCCTTCACTGGCCCTTGAGCCTCCTCCTGGACCCTTCAGCCCCTCAGATTCCTTCACTGACCCTTCAGCCTCCTCCTGGACCCTTCGGCTCCTCAGGTTCCCTCACTGACTCTTCACCCTCTTCATGGACTCTTCAGCCCCTCACTGACCCTTCAGCCTCCTCCTGGACCCTTCAGTCCCTCAGGTGCCCCTCACTGACCCTTCAGCCTCCTCCTGGACCCTTCAGCCCCTCAGATTCCTTCGCTGACCTTCAGCCTCCTCCTGGACCCTTCAGCCCCTCAGATTCCCTCACTGACCCTTCAAGCTCTTCATGGACTCTTCAGCCCCTCACTGACCCCTGGACTCTTCAGCCCCTCACTGACCCTTCAACCTTCCCCTTCTGGACCCTTCAGCCCCTCAGATTCCCTCACTGACCCTTCAACCTCCTCATGAACCCTTCAGCCCCTCACTGACCCTTCAACCTTCTCCTGGACCCTTCAGCCGCTCAGGTTCCCTCACTGACCCTTCAACCTAATCATGAAATCTTCAGCCCCTCACTGACCCTTCAACCTTCTCCTGGACCCTTCAGCCCCTCAGGTTCCCCTCACTGACCCTTCAGCTCCTCAGATTCCCTCACTGACTCTTCACCCTCTTCATGGACTCTTCAGCCCCTCACTGACCCTTCAACCTCCTCCTGAACTCTTCAGCTCTTCAAGTGCCCCTCACTGACCCTTCAACCTTCCCCTTCTGGACCCTTCAGCCCCTCAGATTCCTTCACTGACCCTTCAGCCTCCTCCTGGACCCTTCGGCTCCTCAGGTTCCCTCACTGACTCTTCACCCTCTTCATGGACTCTTCAGCCCCTCACTGACCCTTCAACCTTCCCCTTCTGGACCCTTCAGCCCCTCAGATTCCCTCACTGACCCTTCAACCTCCTCATGAACCCTTCAGCCCCTCACTGACCCTTCAACCTTCTCCTGGACCCTTCAGCCGCTCAGGTTCCCTCACTGACCCTTCAACCTCCTCATGAACTCTTCAGCCCCTCACTGACCCTTCAACCTTCTCCTGGACCCTTCAGCCCCTCAGGTTCCCCTCACTGACCCTTCAGCCTCCTCCTGGACCCTTCAGTCCCTCAGGTGCCCCTCACTGACCCTTCAGCCTCCTCCTGGACTCTTCAGTCCCTCACGGACTCCTCAGCCCGCAGGTGCCCCTCAGGTGCCCCTGAAGCCCCTCAGCTCCTGAGGGAGACAAGATGGCGCCGGCGCAGTGGCGGGAAAAGGGCTCCGCGCCGCCTCCTCCCTCAGGGCTGAGGGGAGACCTTCTCCCATCCCGGCACCTCAGCAGCATCTCCAGCAGGCCTGGAGTCCCTGCGTTTGAGGAGGTAACAACAGGGTTAGACGGGACTTTGGGGTGGAATTGTACCCGGTGAGGGCGGGCAGGCCCTGGATGCCCAGAGCAGCTGGGGCTGCCCCGGTCCCTGGCAGTGCCCAAGGCCAGGCTGGAGCACCCTGGGGTGATGGAAGGGTCCCTGCCCCTGGAGCTGCATGGTTTTGAAGGTCCCTCCCAACCCAAACAATGCTGTGATTCCATGACTTACTCCTGTGATCAGCAATTTAAATCGGGTTCATTCTACAAATATAAACGCACAACGCACCAGCAAGACAAAGCAAGTCGCAGAAATCTGTGGAGAAACCATTCCCTACTTTTTTTTTTTTTTTTTAATCTTGACTATAAGGGAAAAACGTTGCAGCCTGTATTTTATAAATTAATCAAAATTTCTGGTTTAAAGATATTATTTGTATTGATTCACACCCAATAGTCCTATATTTTCAGGCTCTGCAGAAAGCTGGCTTGAGCTGTTTTCTCCATTTATACTGAATATAAGATTATATTTTATAAAATCAATACCCTTCACTTCTGCGTCATAAAAAACTTTACTCCTGATGAGTAATTTTATAACCCCAAGGTCTCAGCTATTGGAAGTTTTCAGCATAGCCTGACAAATTCTCTGTGTTGACTCTGTATTACAGGATCTTTCATTTCTTCAATTAAACAGCTGAAAATGGATCCCACCTGTGCTCTTGTAGTTATTGTGTCACAAAAATCCACAATAATTATCCCATGCTGATGACAAACAGGATGCCAGGGAACTGACAGCCTGGGTGGGTTTTTTTTTCCTTTTTAGGTCACCTTTTGTACAGTATGATCCATGGATCTAATTTTGTTTCGTAGGTTTGATGTCTCCACTAAACGGAACACGGCATTTTTTTCTGTCGGTTCTGTTGTTTTCATTATCTCAAGCTAATGAACAAGCAGAAGGTAATGAGCCTGGTGATAGGATCCTAATGGAACGGGAAGGAGAACCTGGACACTGGCTGGGAAATGCTGGCAAAGGTACAAGGCTCGTTCTTACAGCCACAACTACAATGCAAAACAGGAAAAAAAAATCCCTGAAATGAGACATGTGGGGTGCCCACTGCTGCAGAAGGTGACAAACCAGCCCAGGGGCTCGCAGGAGCTGAGCTGGTCCAGCATCTCAGCCAGCTTTTGGTGGGACACAGCACCTGCTGCACTGGAGCCTCGCAGGGATCTTGTGCATGGGTAGGTCCCCACTTCCAGGGGGTTTTGTCCAGCTGGAGCTGCTTTTCTCCCACAGGCACAAAGGGCAGGTGAAACCCGACCCTGCCATGTCCCCTCCAGCCTTTGTTTCATTTCAAAGCCACCAGAACAAGGGTGCTGTTGTGCCTCGGCTCCCCATAATCACCGGCAGGGTTTGCTTTGTGGGCTGCTTCCACTCCTATTTTCAATGTACATTTGGGGAAAAAAAAAAAAACAAACCAGCTGCTTTTTACTTTCCCAGGATAGCTCCTGCTGGGAAGACGTTATCGGGGCCATCGTGACAGGAGGCACAAAGGCAGGGGACAAAGTGAGACCCGTTCTTTCCCTCTGAGATGTCTGATTAGATGCTGAATTTCTGCCTTGCAGATGCTGAGCCAAGGACACGTTTGAGGGGTGTACCTGTCTCAGGTGACACTGAGAATTCTGCCATTCACACAGCACCTCGGGGACAGCCAGGGGCTTCTGTGCTTACTGCAAACAAATAACACCTTTTTGGTGCTTATAACCAACAAATGTCCAACCTGCCTTTATCCCGCTGATTTACAATGCCAGCTGATTCTCCCAGTCAGGAGCTTTCAATACAAACACTGGAGAGCATCTGTAAAAACAAATGTTATTCAACTTGTATCCTGCTTTACTCAACCTTTCCTCCTCAGCTGACCTCAGAGCTGTCCCAAAAAGAAATCAGCATCGTTATCTCCCTTGGACAACTGGGAAAACAGAGGCGAGAGAAAGGCCAGAAGAGGTTTCCTAAAACCCATGTGCCACACAGAACCAGCCCCCTCTCCAGCACCAGCCCCCGCGGGAGAGCACCAGTGTTAATTCAGTGCTTTTCTGATCCAGTGCTTGATCCCTGAAAGCTCCAAGTGATTTGAACTCTCCGGCACTTCAGCGGCACTTAGCGCAGAGCCTTCCCGTACACGGCTGCAAATTGCCCAGTCCCTGCTAATTAGGCCTTCATGAATAGATTTATTTAAATTACACTCATCGGCGTGGCCGAGCAGTGCAAATGCCATTTCGTAATTCACTTTAGCAATTTGTTACGTGACCATCAGTACACTTTGCGTTCAGGGGAAGAAAGTCCAGCACTAGCAGGGACATTTCAGAAATCATTTCCAAACCCAGAGCAATATAAAAATATTTGCTCTGTTCATTTTCTGCTGCCCACAGCGTTTACTGAGGGGGCTCATTGAATATTTATACATGCTTAGGACCAAAAGAACTGGTAAAATGGAGAGGGCAGACATGTAATTTTATGTAATTGGCCTGACTGAATGCATTAGAAGCAGCAAATTATTAAAGGTGCTCAGTGTTCAGTGGTTTTGGCTGATACCTGAACTGGAAGAGCCTCGGGAGTGCTGGTGGAGTGAGGATGGACATCTTCAGCAGCAGCCAACAGGTGCTCAGTGTGTGTTTAGGGACATTTAATCAAAATTTCTCCGAGTCTTTGTTCAGCTCTCACTCCAGCCTGGTTCTCCCCCATCCCGGTGCCCAGCACTGGAACCATCCCAGTGCTGTTTCATGCACCACCTGCAGCATGGAAAAACACAACAACCCAGAGCCTTGTTGTAAAATTAACATGGCCTGTGGCTGGTTCCCACCTCCTCTGGGTTAATTCTGCCATCCTGGGGCCAGGGAGATGCCAAGACCTGAGGCTGGTGCATGTGGCAGCAGCACGAGCCTGCAGGGAGCCCAGACCCCAACACGGGCATGAGCATGCATGGGGCTCTGCTGGGAATGCCAGCAGCTCAATTTCTGGCAAAGACCAAAAAAAAAAAGCTTTTTTTTTTTTTTAAGGTGTAAATCTCTGTGGGCCATGTAGCTGCTGTGCCCATGGGCAGAGAGGGAATGGCACTGTCAGGGCTGGAGCCTGGCACAGCACTGCTGCTCTCCCTCCCAGACTCATGATGTCTGCTCGTCAGCCAGCTCAGCTCCTCATGATTCCATCACTAATTAATCCCTTCTGCAGCAGTGGTGGAGCAGGAATGTCACGGAAAGGATGTGGCACATCCCGGGGAGGGACAGGAGCCATCGGCACCGGCCCTGCACCAAAATCAGCTCCCCGCGGGTGCCAGGGCAGAGTGGCAGCCCAACAGGAACACCCAGCTGACATCTGAGACCTCCTGGACCATCACTAAGCAGTCAGCTCATTTTCAGTGTATAATTAGCAAATGAACTTGTCCCAGAACTAACCTGTGTCGTTTTCCTACCAAAAAGGCAGATGAGATGCCCACATAGGAACTCACTGCTTGAAAGCACGGACACAAGGCTTTATTTCTTCAATTTTCTCCCTTTTTGAAGCTCAGGCTTTGATTGCCCAACATTTAAAGCCCTCAGTCTGCTCTTCAACTTGACTGAGGCTACAGAAATTCAAAATTATTTTTTTAGAACCTTTAGGCTATAGAGAATAACTTTTCCTGCATATAATTCCAAAATAATGTGAGCTTGGTGAAATGACTTGGATTTTCATCACTTTCCCCAAGACCAGAATTTCCTCCTCCCTCTCTGAGCAAACAAGTGATGAATATTTTCCAACAAAACATCATGAATTAAAACACACAACAATTAAAAATAGTTTTAGTGACAGCTCCCTGACACAGAGGAAGAATGCGTTGAGGGAGGAAGAAAAGAAGATATTTAGCATTGTTGGCTGCTATTCAGACACTTTCAGCCATTCAAATCCATGAAACCAAACCCAAATTATATCTGGATTTCAGCTGGAGACTGAAATGAGACTGAGCAGTACCAATTAGGACACACGGAATGAGCATCTCCCAGTGACAATACTGGGAAAAACCATTCCAACCTCCAGTTTCCAACCAAGCCTAAAACTTGATCCCTGCACGAGCAGTTCACAAGGAGGAAACCTTAGGATGCAATTCCCAAAGACATATGGGAGTTGCTGTAAAAGAAAACTGGGATCTTAGAATAAATCAAATTTTTCCCTCACCACAGAATCCAGTGAAGGGAGCACCAGAGAAATCCAAAGGGCCCATCCAAGCTAAACTTTCCAGCACAAATCCACCTTTGATCTCGTGGCTGAGCGTTTGGCCCCGGCCTGCTGGTGGCAGGGCTCCCAGTGCTCCCAGAGCCAGGACTGCATCCAGCCCTTCCCAGGGAATCGTGTGTCAACATTTCCACAGCCCTCCTGGCTGCCTGTCAGGCAGCTCGTTAGAAAACTCCTGCAGACCCACACTGACATTTGGAGGGTTTATCCATTAGAAAAACAAAACCTCCCCTCAAAGCCTGTTCAAAGTGCAAAGGTACGAGACTTGATCAAAACGGGACTGGATCACTGAATTCTCCCTTAAGAAAATGAACACTAGAGGTCAATCTAACAACTTGTCCCGGAAATATATATCCCTGGAATAAAATATTACAGACTGCTGTGCTCTGTACAGCTCTAACTACCTCCAGACCCCCTGGCTCAGCCCGATCTAACACGGGTTTCCTCTGTTCTTTTGGGTTTGCTCTTGTCTCGCTCTCCATTAGCGTTTCCTTTCTGGAGCTCTCCCTCACTGTCACTGTCCCGAGTCATGGGGCTCCCTGATGCACTGAACTCCCTGTTTGTGGGAGGAAAGGGGGAATTGGCCTTGTGTGAGGAGGCTGGAGGCCAAATGTGTCCCTGATGGAGCTCCAGTGCAGCTCGAGTTGGATGAAGGGTCAGGGCAGGAGCAGAGGAGCAGGTGAAAACCCAGAACAGGCAGGTCAGGATCCCATCTCATGGATAAACCCTGGAGTGGGTTGGGTTGGAAAGGATCTTAAAGCTCACAAAGTCCCATCCCTCCTGCCACAGCAGGGACACCTTCCACTGTCCCAGGCTGCTCCAAGCCCTGTCCAGGCCAGCCTTGGACAAGGACAGGCAGCCACAAACCCATGATTCAAAAGGGGCAGCAGGGAACAGGGCTGGGATGCAAGGGGTGGGTGTGGGACTTCCAGACTTCAAGTCTGATTCCCTTCCAATGCATCTCCCATCTAACAGCAGCAGAGTGACTTCAGCTCTGCACCTCACGCTTTCCTCATCTCGTCTCCCATGCTCAGATTCCGGAGGACCTTGAGACTCCAAACTCCCACAGACTTCTTCTGCTTAAAATCGGTTTTGGTTGGGCTTTTTTTACTTTACCATTCTGAAATGCCCAATATTCCAATTCCAGTGAGTTTCTTCCTCCCCCTTCCCTGCTCTTATCACCAGAAATAAGACACAGCCCTGCCAGCCTGTTTCAGCCTCCCCATTGCCACCTTCCTCAGCAAATCCCAAACTCCCCTCCACAAACCTCCTGCCTCAGACAGACTCGATGGAGCACATGAGGCCACCTCCACTGGGAAAGCCAAGGGTGATCCAAGGCACAAAATCAAGCCAGATGAAAGCTCAGACCCAGCAGAGAGCGGGTTTAAGCTCGAGATTTCAGCTGGGGAGTCACTCGCGTGCTGCTCCCCTGAAGCGGGGCCAAATCGCGGCTCTTTCCGCCCGCAGGCGGATCCTGCAGCCCCGGGTAGCAGCGAGGAGTACCATTTATTCCCACACAGGGCTGTGTGCGGGGCTGCCAAGGCCTGGCCCCGGCTGAGCTTTCCGTGAGCGAGCAGCTCCATATGGCTCCTCACTCAGCAGCTCGCCTGCTGCCAGCTCCTCTCGCTGCAAACGGCCCCGCGCAGCAGAAATGTTCCAGCTCCACCTTCTCACTGCCGTTACCTTTCCAAACCTGCCAGATGAATTCCTGAAAGTTCTTCCCGGGAGTTTCTTGCTGCCTGGATGAGCGCAGCGGTTCAGCCGTGCTCCCCCGGGGCAGCAGCCGAGTCATTCCCAGGTGGAAGTGTCAGATCCAGAGGGTGCCCAGCCTCGGTGCCCAGCTCCTCAGAGCCCAGGCACGCCCAGAGGTGATGAAAATGCCCCATTTTAAAGCAAGCTGGCCCTAACACAGAGCTGAAGCTTCTTTAGGGACACATCTCTGAGCCCTTCCCAGATAACAGAGGCACAGGAGAGATTTGGGAGGGGTGCAAGCACGGCTGGGACAGCGATGGATGCCTTGTGCCACTGGTGTGCTTTAGCACCTTCTCTTCAAGGCATAAAAACTAGGCAGAATTGAACAGAAAACCTCCATTTTTGGGGCACTTGACGCCTCACCTTGGCAGTTTTTCATCTATTAAAAGCACAAGATGCAATTCCTTGGCCACAGGAGCTGCCCTTCCCAGTACCCCCATCCATGCCCATCCCGTGGGAGGTGGTTCCCCAAAGGCTGACTGCCAGAGGCCCTTCCCCAGGACCAACAGCAGCACAGCCCTCAGTGCCACCACCCGATGGCTCTGGGCACAAGGCAAAGCCAGCGGTGACACCAGAGGGGTGAAAGCCACAGCAAATGGTGTGGCCTTAGCCCAGCTCAGCTCAGCCCCAGGTCAGCAGGGAGCCAACTTTCAGATTATGGATCCAATCAGCCCCAGCCCAACCATGGCACGTGCAGTTCCTGCCAAATCAATATCTGCGTCTTCCTGGTGAATAATTGTGTCAGTGGGACGTTAATGGGGCACAGTGCTCGTGGTGTCGAGGCTTTTTTAAAATTTTTTTTTGTCAACGAAGCAAAGTTATTCATTTCCCTCCCCCTTCCCCCCCTGCCAGCCTTCCCAAATGCACAAAATGGGCTCCAGACCCACCTCCTACAAGGAAATGAGAACCAGCCCCAGAGGATCACCCAGCAAGAAGCCTCTGTTCGGAGATCTGACGCCTCTTCAAAGCCAGGGGAGCAAATGTGCTCCTACCTCGGCTGATTTATGAGGAACGGCTGCGTCACCCGCGCGGGGGAAACGCTTAAACGCTACCAGAGGGAAGGGAACCAGCCCTGGCTGCCTGCTCTGAGCAGCCCCGCTCTCCAGGAGAGTTTGTTTTCATCTAATTAGCCCTCTATTGCATTTTCAAGGAAAACAAACAACCTGGAGCCTGCAGCACATGCTGCTGGATGTTTCCCTCCCTAGGAAAACAAACACCGGGGTGGCAGGCGGGATGTGCCAAGGGGGGCTCTCCAAGGGCACGTGGCACCAGCCAGCCTGGCACCGTGTCCCCACACACGAGGGGATGTGGGCAAAGCAGGTGGCTTCTCAGAACAGCCAAAACCCCCTCAGCTGGAGGCAGCAGCAAAGCCAGAGGCACAGGCACCCCAGGAAAGGCAGCAGCCAGGTCTGAGTGAGGGGCACAGCCCAGGGGTGGTTTTTTCCCTTCCTTTCTGTTGAAAAATTCTGGGTGTAAATCGCTCTGTGTGTTTGGTTTTAATTTCTCCTGCTGCCCCACTGTTATTTATGCTCTTGAAATATAACAGCAGGCACATGGAGAGTGTGGTGTTCATGAAACACAGCCCAGTGCCCAGAGTGTTTATCGACCAAGGCAGTAAATAATTCCAACAAGCACAACTCATCCAAGAGAGCAGGGCCATGCACGAGGGCTGCCCATCTGCCAGGGCCCTTCCAGCGCTGCCAGACCTGCTCCAGAAATGCTCTTTTCCATCTTAAATGAAGCCAAGAAAGCCAAGTGCAGCTGCCAAGTGGGTCCTGGTGGCAGCTGTGCCCTGGGCTGGAGGATGGCCAGTGCTGCAGGGACATCCCTCAGGACACCTTTGCCCACCATGGCACGCTCCCAGTTCATGCCAGGAGGACTCGAACAGAAAGCAACTGCTCAAATGGATCCAGGCTGGAGCAGAGGCACCCAGGGGACACCAGGAGCTGGACCTCCACAGCACCCTCAGGGCTCCAGGACAGCCAGGAGGCCACTGCTTGAAACACAAGCTCTTTGCAAGGACCTGATCTGGTCTGGTGGCTGAGGAGAAGGCAGCAGAAACAGCCCAGTGTAAGCACTTGCTCATTTAGCATAGGTAATGGCTGTGGAATTTATTCAGCATCTGAATTCTTGCTTTTTTTCCCAGGGGAAAGGCCAGAGGGGACTCTGCATGCTGCTTCCATACAGAGCTCTCGGCTGTCCCAAGGATTTCCCTGGATGCTTTCCCTGTCCTGCAGCACGGAGAGCCCTGGGAAGCCCAGCACAAGGCCAAACAGATTTAGTGCTGCTACACTGGGACTCGTTTATCTTCCCTCTGAGGTGAACCCACACCGTCCTCAAGGACAGGAGCTTAACAAGCAGAGAGGAAGATCCGAACCAGAGCCTGCCCTGATGTCAATCACCCAGCTGCTCTGAACCAAACAGGGCTGATTTATGCCAATGTCCTGGCTCCAATCCTTCCCAGCTCCCTCTGCCCCCGGCAGAGCCCATCCCAGCAGAGGATGAAGGGCAGAGCCATGAAGGGACATCAGCACTCAGATTCCATCCTGGGACCCTCACACCACTGATATCAGCAGCATGAGGACCCTCAGGGTAAAATAAAGCCCCTCAGACAGGGCTGTGCTCAGCAAACCCTGGCCTGGGTGTGCCTGCAGTGCCTGGGTTTAGGGGAGAGCTCAGCACCACAGGGTACCTGTGGCACTGGCTGGAACTCACAGCCAGCTCCTCTGGGCTTTGCTGCCAAAATATCACTGCCCAGAGGGGATGACCTTCAGCAAACTCTTGTGTCAGCCACGAAGCCAGGCTGGGAGAAGGCTCCTGGTCAGGGATCCCATCAGATGCTGCAGTAGCACCCCCAGGGCTGCTGTCAGCTCTGGCCCTGCTGCTCCCAGTTCATCTCAGGGCAGCGTTTCCCAGCAGGGTGGTGCCCAGCACAGCACAAAGGACACTCTCAGCATTTTACCCGTGGGCAGTTCTGGTATCATGAGGGCTCCTCAGCAGGGAACAGCTCCTTCAGTTCAGCAGGAGTCTGAGACACCCTGGAAACCCGGAACCCCCAGGCTGGGATTCCCAAATCCAGGCAGCACGAGGTGCCAGAGGCTCTGCCTCCAGCCAAGCCCCTCACTTTGCAGCACTGCCTGCACACACCAGGGCCTTTCACCTTCTCCTGCTGCACAGGGAGACAGCAGCACACACCCACTGACCCCATTTCCAGCCCAGCACCTGCTCCTTCCACCACCCAGGAGACTCTCCCAGCCCCAAAGAGTTCCACACCTTCCGCTCCCTGCAGAACATCCCAGCTCAGCCCCG